GTTTGGTCTCTTCTTGTCATTCTGTGTTATAGAAGGCCTCCATCTGATGGGATTTTGAGTTGTGTGAAGTGACAAAGTGTCGATCAAAGAATTATTTTGTTTTGCGAGATGAAGAATGGAATGAGGAAAGACAGGTTGGAACTGGAACGCGAAGTTATATGTACGTATGGGAGCCGCGCGTAATTGGCTACAGCTGGTAGACGGTACCCCCCACTCCCCCACTTTCTTTACTCGTGAGGCTGCTGAACTGCGGAAGGTACCATGGCCTGAACCTTTCCTCTCCTGACGCCATCCCAGTCCATTCCTACGACGCTTTACCATCTCTTTAACGATCTTCTCGGTTAAACAAATTCCGACCATATCACCATATCGTCGTTTTCAGTCTAGTTCTTTACTAATCTAAAGAGCGAGTTAAATCAGTCAAAATGGTAAGACTTCTACCATATCCCTCCTCAAACGCCTTCAGAGCTTTCAAAGAGAACGGCTAGCTAACCAACCCACCTCTTAATCCAGGCGCGCAATTCTGAGAAAGCCCAATCGATGCTCTTCCGCTTCCGGGAGGCACAAGCTGCAGACTTAGGCATAATCGACGCCGGCCGCACGCGACGGCCCCGCGTCATCACCGAAGTAGACTCGATCCCATCATGCGAGAAATGGCGCGGGCAAGTCCTCAAAGAAATATCTCGCAAGGTGTCCAAGATCCAGGACCCAGCGCTCAGCGACTACCAGATCCGGGATCTCAACGACGAGATCAACAAACTCATGCGCGAGAAGCACATGTGGGAGGTGCAGATCCGCAATCTCGGTGGTCCGAATTACATGCGCGGTACTGGGAAAATTTACGACGAGACCGGTCGCGAGATAGCGGGTGGCGGAAAGGGGTACAAGTATTTCGGCCGCGCAAAGGAATTACCCGGTGTCAAGGAGTTGTTTGACGCGGCTATACAGGCGAGGACGCAGGCGGAGAAACCCCTTGAGGCTAGAGATGATCTAAGGAAGAACGTCGATGCTAAGTATTACGGCTATGCGCCTGATGAAGAAGATGAGGCCCTTCTAGAATATGAGGCCGCGAAGGAGAAGGAGGCGTTCGACATGTTGCTTAAGCAAGCGGGCAAGGGGGGGAAGCCACCGCCCGACTGGGAACCGCTGCCGGGCGACGCAGGCGACGGACGTGGTTGGGAGTTGCCGACACTTGACGAAGTTCAGCAGGAGCTTATGGAGAGGAGACGGCGGAAGCTCCTTGATCAGATCCAGTAGCTTATTGGCCCATGACTACTACACCAACCACTGGGATATCGATGCCCACAATGGTCCTTGGAGATCACTGCCTCTGACAGTTGTACGCTGAGCAGAGCTACATGATACTGTCATCATGACTGTCTTAAGGGTAATTCGACATAATGCATGTTGCCTGTATGCGAGGCATCCGCAGTATCCGAGGAGAGCGAATATTGGTATCAATCCCATCACCAAACTTCCGCCTAAGAAGGAATGGAAGGGCAAGCTGACAACCCATCGAGGAACTGAGAGAAATGGGTACACAACTCCCTTACACACCAGCTACCTCCCTTTCCTCGGCTGACGGAAACGCAGACTATTCATTTCCTTGCCTTGCATTCGCTTACGGGAGACCTCGAGATGGCCAAGGCACGTTCTCTTGGGCTACTCAAGGGCAAGCCAACGGCTCTGAGGTCAAACCTTACAGGTTTAGACTATGGCAGAGACTTAGAAGTTAGTGGAGCGACGGTATCGCGATTGAAATCTACTAGAACTTACTGGAAGTTCGAGACCGGTGAAGAGGACGCACTTTCCACAGCGTGCATGCTGGGCTTACAGGCTTCTAAATAGGGTCACATTCAAGCGCTGGTTCGTATGGGTCAACATTGGAAGACAACTAGCAAGCTCCGGCAAACCTGGAAGCTAGAGAGCCGCGAATACTTCGATGGTCAGGCGATCCACCGAAGGGGCGTTGGGTATGTTCCAACAGCAACCCTATATCATAAGAGCAGTTTATCCATGATAATTTATGACAATACTCAATGTCAAACCATATACCCAATACCATAGGCTAAATATGTATTTTGTGACCAAATGCCATAACCCCTTATTCCAATACAATCCAAAATTGCCCCAAGTTCCTGCTAGTAGACAAAAAGCCTGTCTTATGTTTACAAAAAAAGCGCAAATATGACCAACTTATTCCTCAATATGTGCTCTTTAAAACCTAGCAGCCGTCTTTCCAATTCTCCTCAACCCAACCAGCAAGGATATCTGTTAGGGTTTTATCAAGGTACACCTTGACGCTGTCCGTATCATAGTCGCCGCCGCTGAATTTCAGGGCCAGGATGATCCACGGTTGAACGTAGTCAACGAACACGAGGTCCACATTTTCGGGATCTTCTGTCTCTGATGGAAAGGCGACCTGCGCCTGGATGCAGTTGGGCACGGCATAAAACTTGATGGGCGAGTGCACGGCGTCGTCACCGTCGTCGCCGAGGTCGTCCTTCGTCGTATAACCGCCGATTAGCTTTGGCTCATCGCCTCCATCATCATCATCGTCGCCGTCTTCAACAAGTGGCAGTTGATCTCCTGCATCGAAGAACTTTGGCGCAACTGCGGGGACTGGCTCTGGCTCTTTCCCTAGGTATGGGCTGGGGGCCATTTGTTCGGGAATTGTGAGGTATTTGGGGTTGAGACCTTCTTGGAAGACTTGACCCCCGCTGTTGAGTAGCTGGAGCACCTTTTTCGCCACATTGTACGGGACATCAGGAACGTAATTGAACTTGCTCGTAAAGGGGGAGATCAAGAACGTAGAATCCTTCGTGAATGCGCCCTTGAAGATGTCGAAACGGATGGCGCCTGTATTGAGAATGGTCAACCGAGGCTTGTCGGTGCGTTCTTGGTTGATGACAGCATCCGGAAGCACTTTCTTCTCGAGCCACGTAAAGATACTCGCATTAGTGGGATATTCGGCACGGGTCATCCATAAGTCTCTGGGCGAGCAGCCAATCTTGTGATCGAGATCGAGCGTTTTCCGAGCATCTGTGATCATCTTGCTAACATTGCGACCATGTTCTGTAGGAAAATCCGTCTCATCGAGTCCTGCGTGGTACTGTAGCCCGAGAACATTGTTGTCGATATAGCGCCTCTTGAAGGTGACGCCGGCAGCTTCGGCGGAAGCAGTCTCTTTGCTTTTCTTCTTGATGCCGTCGATGGACATCCATCCAATGGTCTCGAAGTAACGACCACTAGCAATCGCAAAGGCCTTATCATCGAACTTCCTCGCATCTCGTACATGCGCATGGCCGCCAAGGAATGCGATGGGGGTGTGCCAATTCTCGTCCCTGATGACTTTGAAGATCTGCTCAAACTCTTTCATTCGCAGGCCCACGTGGCCGATCACAACAAACAAGTCGGGCTTTTCTCGGATGGCGCTTTGAAACCATTCCTTCTTCATGGTTTCTTCAACGGGTAAGACAACACTGTTGTTCGCATTTCGATCAAAGTCAAACAGGAAACCCAGCGCAACGACTGTATACCCCTGGTTCTTCGTCTTGAATTTGATATATCGCTGCGCTTGTGGTATCTGGTTCCCCGTCTGAGGTTCTATGTAGTCGAGATTCGAAGCAATGTAGGATTCCTTGAAGTGGGGGACGGTTACGTTGTGTTCACGAGCGACGCTGTCTTCCTGATATAACTCATGGTTTCCCGTACATAAGATGTCCACAGTCTGCTGGCCGAATATGTCATAGGTATATTTGCCTTTTGGATCGGAACCGTCGTAAAGGCCGTTGCCCTCGATTCGGTCGCCGGTGTCTATGACTAGTAAATCGACTCCTTTCTCGTCCGCCTTATTTCGCATGTGTTCGGTAAAGGAAATATAGTCGCCCCAGTCGGCCGAGTATTGGGCTCTGTAGTGACAGCGAGTAATTAGTAAGTGATAGAATATCCAAGACGACGCATTCTTCGACGTACTCTTGAAGATGCCCACCAAGCCAGCCATGTATGTCGGTAGTATGCAGGAAGTTGACCTGTCCCCATTCCAGGTCTCGCATGGGAGCAGCAACAGGCGCTGGAGCTCCCGGTTGAGCTCCATTGGCGACAATCGCCAAAGACGCTGCGACAACTGCGACTTGGCGAATCATGGTTTTAAAATGGGCGCAATTAAGCGTAGATATCGATATATTTCTCCCGCATCAGAGGAGGACAGCAACCATTATAGATAGATAGAAAAGAATGGCAGCGAGGTACCGATTTGTTGAGCTGTCAAAGGTGTAGAGATACCGTCCAGGTACCTCCAAGATAGGTTTTACCATCCCAAATCGAAATAGGGATGCAACCTGAGCCATGCTGCTTTTAACCTGAGCCTGGCCTGAGCATAACCTACAGTTACGTTTATTATGTTCGGGCGACTTCCTAGGAAGTCAGTTAAACGGATCACTTAAACGGACCATCTTATAATATATACAAAGATCCGTTTTATAATAAACGGTATTTGCTTTTGTGCAACTGTAGTGAAATCTACCTAGGTTCTTAAAGCTTGTCAGGTGGTTCATGCGCACTCATGGACCCACCACCCACCTTTGCCCACAAAAGCCTTCGCGCGCATGTATATTAGTCTCTCTTTCCTTTCCTTCTTTTCTCTCCTTTCCATTTTCAAGCATTCTATTTACATAGAAATATACAGTTCTGATCACTGCATCAGACTTCTGTTCTTTTGTTTGTCACATCACACAAGTGCTACCGCTGAACACTCTTACAAGCGCTCTTACCACAACGCTCTTACCACAACGCTCTTACCACAACGCTCTTACCACAACGCTCTTTCCACCCACGCTCTTTCCGACACTCTTCCACCCACGCTCTTTCCGACACTCTTCCACCCACGCTCTTTCCGACACTCTGCCACCCACGCTTCTTCCACACTTTCCTACTACAACTGCCCCCATCACGCCCAGGCTAGAATTCAAATGAACTTAGCCCCCCGCATATTCATCAAACCCCGACTGGTCTAGTTGGTATGATGTCAGGCTGTCAATGCTCTTGTATAGCAAGATACTTGAAGGTCAGGGGTTCGATCCCCCTGTCGGGGAACTTTTTGCATTATCTGAACTTTTTTTGCCCATATATACATTTGCGCTCGCTTTTACTAGCTTGTCCTTTTTTTTCTCTTTTTTAAAAGTAGGTAGCCTGGCGTAAGGGGTGAACAGATTTAATTATCCCCTAGGCATATGATATAGGTAATACTTTATTATTACATGAACTCCCTTAACTCCTTCCTTAGCATTATACAAACTGAATCAGACTTAGAGTTAAAGTTACAATCGCTTGACGTTTGTTGGGCTCACCCACCCATTCCGGTGACCAAGCCCTTGTAAGCTACGACGTTTGACATCTAACTTAGAAACGGCTAGACCAGCAAAAGGCAACAAGGATAGCTATACACATGCCGCCCAGGTGCAAACATTCAAGAACCTAGAGGGTAAAGAAGGCTTCAGACCTAAAAGCACAACTAGATTGTATCGTTAAGCACAATTCAACGTCTGACCGACTAATGCCAACAACCCGTCCATTTACATCCCGCCCTATCGTTAACCGTCACCAGCGCGCGTTTTAGGCCGTAGCGGCCTTACCCTACAGATTCGGCGCCGAGAGTTAGCAATATGAAGATGGTCAAGATCGAGCTCACTAACCCGGCAGGAAACGTATAGGGGTATAATTAAGTTACCAACAACACTTAAACAGCTACAACTTGTTAGTTCGAGCTCTAAAACGGATATTGGTACAGTAAACAGTTGCAAGCATTTAAATTTACGTTAATTTAGATAACTAAGCACCTAGTAAACAAAGACGACATATAGAAGAAGTTTAAGCCTGATTATAACCTTTAATAGTTGATAGTGATTGTGCGCAGCTGCAAATAAATACTGGTTAGGCTAAAGCGATCTAAAATAACGGGCAAAAGCACGAAGGTTCCTCTTCGTATGTGCACTTCGGGCGGGCACAAACGGAGGTCGCGAAAATATTGCCACTAGACCCAGGTTAGCTAAATAGGCATATCGATCGTAAGGGTCACGATAACGCATACAGAAATGCCTTAGACAAAGCGAACTCCTAGATAACGCCAGGCCGCGGGCAAGGCACGGCAAAGGGGACGCCGCCGACAGCACACTCGAAACGGCAGCACCATTGGCATTTGCGAACGGATTCAGTCGACGGACTGGTACGATATGCGTACCAGCACGGGTTGAGACCACGGACTGGTACGACGTGCCAGTACGACCTTGAACTATTGGCTGTACTAGTACGAGTTCAAGTCTGTGCTGTGGCCTAAGCCTGTACTGGTCTAGAGCCGTACTGGTACGCGGTCCTAATCTGTAAAACGTCTATAATCCCTCTGAAAGATGCTGACGTCCCGTGTCTTTTTTTGGGGGGGTGGGGTGGTGGTAGTATTGCCTAACCCGATAGTTTAGATCCGAGCTACATAGATAAGAGGTGGGTGGTTGTAATAGCCGGTAGCTATCGTGGGATATGTCTACTAAGGTGGGCATAGGTGACTGCTAGTATAGATTAGTTATGCTTGCACGGGTTGTTAGAGGAGAAGAGGGAGGTAGCAATACACAGTTGTTTACGTAGCAGTAGTAGTTTGCCTCTTAAAGTGACCTGCTGCAACTCACAATTTTCTACACTCTGCCCGCCATGACTGGCTTAATCCACTCATGGAAACTGTGGCTACGGTATGGATGGTGGTGTCTCTGATAGCTCCTTTTGATGCGATCGGCTGTTAGCGTTAGTCCAGTGAGGTGGTAGGGCAAGTAGACTCTACGAAAAGACAGTATCATTGTCGCTTTGAACCAATAGAGCGACGCGTTCAGTTCTGCCAGGCCATGCATGACATAGTATATAGGTTGATTGATTGAAAGAGGTGACGAAATTGGTGGAAACTGATGCTATCATTCCATACGTCTATTTGCCTTGCTGATTAAGAGACATGACGAACTTGACACGAGCTGGGTATGCGCCCTGTTGTTCCCATAGCTGAGCAATCAAAAAGATCACGAGAACAAAGAGCGTAAAGATCATTACAGCGGCGAACACTCCAAAGGGGTGAATGTCCGACGGCAGGCGATTCCCTGGGCGTTCGCCGTTCTGTCGAATGATTTCTTGGGATGCGTATGACTTCTCGGAGTAGTGCTTGGGGGCGCACGCAACTTGTGCAGGCAGTTTTTGACATTATAGAGCTATTTTCGATTCACGTATAATAGGGTCTGCAGAAAGGAATATACTGCTCAATTTTTGAGAAGCAGAATGCCGAGTCTATTAATGTAGATGGTTAATCTACACACCTCGTACTAACTTAGTAGAGTGGCTCTTTATAGTATGCGGGGGCTAAACGCTCTTCATCGTCTAGCCGCGCGGCTTCAAGCATTAGACACTCTCAACCGGGATCCCTAACTCCCCACCAACCCACCTCCAAAGCACCGCAAGCGCGCCCCGTTCCCGCGCATCCATCGCGCGCCACTCGAAGCGCTCGACCCAGCGCGTCGGCTCGACCGCGAACAGACTGAGCACGTACAGCAGGTCTTCGTCGGACATGGTGCCTTGCGGCCGGTAACGGCCGTGAATGCGGCTGACGCGGGCAATGGCAGCGCGCGTGGCGGGCGCGGTGGGACGGCCGAGGAGATCGGCAGGGGCTACGCCGCTGCGGGTTGGTTTGGGTTTGCAGAGGATGGTAAGGAAGAGCGCCGCCGTGTTACTGCTTGGGCGATGAGTTGGGCGATTGATGGATGATGGGATGCTTTTGGCCTGTGTGGGTGGGGTGAGTAGTAGCTACTATGCCAAAAGATAGAATAAAGATTGCAACCGCAGTTAGATAGAACTCGAAAAAAAAAATTTTTTATCCCAGAGCCAGGAATCGAACCCGGACCCCCCGGCCCCCGAAGGGCATGGTTTACTACGCCACTCCCTTCTACCATGTGTCAACTAGGGATGCTACCATTACACCACTCTGGGTTTTCTGTTGAAAGCCGTTCAGTTAGACAAACTTATAAGGTGTAAGCTAGGCAGCAGATAGCGACACCTAATAGCTTTTTCGGCTTTAAGCCACCCGCTAGCTAACCTACGCAGTGACGGCCTATAGCGTTCTCCATGGCCCATAACAGTGATTAGTTATAAAGAGGTGAGAGGGGTTGAGGGACCCTTTTGACCACCCCACCTAGCTATATATAGGTGGACATTCCCATAGGCTTCCGAAGTAAGAGATTACTTCGGTCACATATAATTAAAGAGTGATTCCAGTAATCGCAGACGACTCCGCCCTGCGCATCCGTTGTGACATATGCCACCTTAATCGCTCTAGCGACCAGTTGATGGCTGTAGCGCTGACGCCACTAATTCAACATAGATTAATCGACCAATCTATACGGGGTTAAGGCAGGCTGTCAAGTTGGTGACAAAAAAATTTGCACACCCCACCCCACCCAACAATTTCATCCACACCACCACTAAAATAGCTAGCAATCCAGCTCAATGGCTTATAATTTAACAGTTTTTTTTTTTCAGAATGACCCGATTGTCAAGAAAACAGCCCTCGCTAGGGCCAGCACTTGGGCAGCGTTGGAAGCATGCAGATACACCTAAAAAAGCCCAATTGAAAGCTATTAAACGCTTCTGCGAAGCTGAAGGCATTGAACATACGAACCGCCAGATCTTTGACCACTGCGGTGTTAAAAAAAGAACTGGCTATTATATATTGAACGATTCTGAACGCCGATTCCATAATAACCCCTTTACGGACGAGACCCGTGGCCGCAAGCGACTCTTTTCGGAAGATCAACTGGACCAACTAGAAGCCTTCTTTTGGAATAACGGCTTCGAGGCTTGAAGGCTACCTTAGGGTGCTCTTTACGATGCCGCTAGCTTGGAATGGCCTGAACGGACCAATCCACCTTGTGCTAGGACCGTACAGCGTGCTCTAAACTAACGCGATTAAAGGAAGTGTATTGCGTGTGATAGATCTTGGGTTTCTAAGAGCTTCGCTGCGAACCGCGTACGGCAGTGCCGTAAAATCCTTCTAGAAAAGGGCTTCTCGTGGGAGTACTGGACCAAAATACGATTTTCTAACGAGGTTCACTTCAAATTTGATCCTAAAAGTCATATTCTAATCCTTCGCAAACCAAGTAAACATTATTGCCCAGACTGTATATACCACCGCGATTTTCCCGATCAAGACGAACAAATGCGCTAAACCTAGTTCGTTGCATACTTGGCATTTGGTAAAACCTCGTACCCGCCAAGACCCGCTGCGTCACTGCACGTTGCGTTGCCGCCTGCGCGTGTCCCCATGCCGTCCCTGCCAATGGGTCATCTGCAGCAAATCCCACGCTAAGCCGGTATCTGAATTGGCTTTAGGAGGATCTAAGTTACATGTAGATAGATAGGTTTTGACACTTTTGGGGTTTACAACAAATGAGGCTTAGCGCAATTGCCGCTTTTGCTTAGGCTCGGCTTATCCTACCGTCAAGCAGGTGACCGAAGAGATAGGTACGTTATGTATAATCTATACAGAGGGAAACAGTCTATAAAACTAATATGTTTTTGTCGTTAACAAAAAAGGTACATAGCACAAGACCTTGTCAACACCCGTGCTATCAAGTTTTATTGTACACATTTTGAGCCCGAAGTGGCTCATTAGCCATCATAACAAAATAAATAAATTATGACACTGTGCTACCTACTGTATCACTAGACCACATTTGTCGCTCTTTGTGACCTGTTCTTTACTCAAGGGACCCTATTGTTGGATAATTCCCAGCGTATACGTACTGCCACATAACGAGCATGTCCGAATATGCCTGTGAGATATCTAAAGCTGAATTATAATAGTCGCTAAATGGACTGAGCATATGTACAAAGAACGTGGTATTATGGCTGCCTTGAACAGACTCTCAGGCGATAGACACATCCATCTGCGAATATTCCCAACCTTTGCCCATCCCAGCCCAGACCGATCTATGGCTAAGCAAAGCAGTGCCCATGGCAAAGACCAAAAGGATAAAGCCAGGAAGCTTCTTTGCAAAGGAAGACGTTGGAGTTAGGCCTATAAGTGTATATCTTCGCTATACTGCTCTACTCGGGCCCTACCCGTTAGCGGTTCGGCTCCACGGTGCATATTCGCAAAACACCGTAAACAACCCGCCTAGATTATCAGTACTACAGCGCTAATGCGCTCTAGTTTCCCGACGATATTGGATTCTGGGATATTCCGTTTTGGAACCCTTTCATCCCCTAGTCAAGGATCGACATGACGAGCCAGGTACTACAAGACTCCCTTTTCCTTCTCGACGTGGTCTTCTCCTCAGAGCATTGCTTCGCGAGCCGATCTCATAAACTCTTTTCTGCCGCAGCGGACCACCCATCGCATTCGGCCGAAGAACTCGATGTGGCCTCGAAAAGGCTCAGTTTGAGATCACTGGACTTCGGCCAACGAACTCATTCTTCTCGCAAGCCTCGACCATAAACTTGGCGATGCTTGCTCTGGTGACCTTGGGCAGAAAATTAATCCCGTTGCCGTCGTCGGGATACACCTTGATCGGAGCCGCATCACCGTCAGCGAGTATACTGGCTCGTACGAAAACGTAGTCGACTCCGGCTTTTCGTGTTTCTTCGTCAAGATTATTGTGGGCGGCCAACCCATATTTCATGTTGGTGTGCGAGAACATGCCTCTGAAGAGAAAGCTCATGCTGCCAAAGCTACTGCCGGCACCCCATTGACTCATGATGACGAGTCTCTTGGTACCAGACTCTTTCATGACGGAAATAGCGTTTGCGACCGAATCTTCCATGATTCTAGCCGGGTTACTCGGGTCCACTGCCGCAAAAGGGGAATCGGACATTCGTTTCAAACTCAAGGCTACCAGGACAGCCTCGGGAGATGTCGGTGATGCTGCGAACGCCTTCTGGAGATCTTCACGCTTCATAGGTGTACCCTCAACGAGGGTTAGACCAGGCCGCGTGCCTAGGGGGAAGGAAGCAGGTGACCGAACGAGTACTACGACGCTATGACCTTTAGACAGCGCCTCTTCCACGATGAGCTTGCCAGTTCGGCCGTTGCCGCCAAGGATGAGGAGATGCATTTTGAGGTGTATGTTGTGTTGTTCAGATGACGGTATTTAGTGTTGAAGATGCGGCCGGGAGGGTAAAGAAATGATGAGAGGGATCACAGTAAAGTAAACAGAAGATCGCAAGACTCGGGAGGTTGAAGAATCACGTTGTTATGTATGCTGTTAAGACAACGATGATGAGTGTAGTAGAAGATGCGGCGGGGCGGTAAAAGAAATAGCGGGAGTGGTAGTGGTCACAGTGAAGTAATCCGATGGCCGCAAGATGGGAGGTCGCAGAATCGCGTTGTTCAGAGATGTTTATATGTAGAAAGTTACCCTGTGCCTGTAGAGCTCTTTTGCCTCTGACGAGGCCGATGAATTGATTAGTCGACATGTAGACCACTCGGCCGAAAATAAGGCATAGAGTCGCCGCATTGTTTCATTACACTGATGCTTCGATGCGGTCGAACGAGCTTGGTACGTAGGGCTGAAAGGCATGTAAGTGACTCGGCCGAGTTCCGGATCCGAGCACATTAATAGATTCTAGGGGCGGAAAGCACCTCACGCCGCACCATGTGTAATGCTTCATTCAGCCTTCCGTCTCATGGCAGATTGGCTGAGGTACCACAGCATATTCCGTTTACTTAGGATCTGCTTGATATGTAGTACTTACCGATCTATGGGAATCACGACCAGGGCCAAGCTAATATGTAGTGTATATAAAGATCTGGAACCCCAGCTGTCTTAGTTGCCCAACACAGTGGTGGCGCCAATGTTCATACCGCTGAACTCGCCAGCTTCTTCCAAGTCTCTACCAAAGCCTCACCATTTTAATCATGGAGTCTTCCACGCAAAACGTTGCAATCATCGGAGGCGGTCTTGCTGTAAGTGTCCTTGACTCTGTCCTCACTCGCAGACCGGCTGAATAACGAGATCACAGGGCATGGCCATGGCCCTCGCGCTGCATCAGCTGTCAATTCCCTGCACAGTCTATGAAGCACGCAACACCCACTCTGCCTCTAAGACATCTAGTGGCGCCGTGATGCTGTCGCCCAATGCACTGAGGATCCTAGATGGCTTTGGGGTCTACCCCGAGCTTCAGAGGAAGAGCTTCCCTTTCGAATACGTCTACTACAAAGATGCGGATGAGCAGACCATTGATCGCTACCCCCTTGGCGACGAAGCTCTTTTCGGGTACAAGGCTCTGCGCGTTTATCGCCAGGAGCTCCTTGATATTCTCTACAACGCCTGCTTCGAACGGAAGATTGCTGTTCATTTCAACAAGAAGTTTATCAACGTTGTTCTCGAGAACGACACGGGCGTCTTATTCGCATTTGCCGATGGCACTACAGCAACCGCCTCGCTGCTTATTGGCGCAGACGGCATTCACAGCAAGATTAGGGAGTATGTCGCTCCAGGAGCCCGGAAGCAGTTTATGGGCATGACGGCTCTGACTTGGGAGACGCCTACAAAGCAGCTGCGGATCCCCGAAGGCAAAGACTACAAGTTCCCAGTCAGCGTCCTGTCCTCGAATGGTGTGTTCGTTCTAGCGCCCCAAAAGCCTGACGGGTCTGCTATGTTGTCCGGGACGCAATTTCCCATTGAAGATCAGACCAGAGAAGAGTGGGACAGGCTTATGGCCGACAAGCGAGGTCTGATCGATCGCATCCGAAATGGCAAGAATATGGATGCCTGGCCGGACATCGTCAAATCTGCCATGGAAGACATCAACGCCGACTCTATGAACATGTGGGTGTTCTACTCGATCCCCCGTCTGGAGAGATGGACTTCCGAGAAGCGCCGTGTGGCCATCCTGGGCGACGCTGCTCACGCGATCCCGCCAACCACTGGACAGGGGGCATCGCAAGCCTTCGAAGATGTCATGTCCCTGGCCCTGCTGCTCTCTACGCT